CCGTTTTCATATTGCTGCGAACGTACGCTATTATCAAGATCACCGGTGAAAACGCTGGCGGAACAAAAGCGTATTTTCGTAAGAGCGTTCCACCGTGCCGGCAAATAAGCTGTCAAATAAAACTCAAATACCCGATACGACGCGCGCCGATCGCGCAGCGGAGCTGCATAAAGGAGATCAAAAGCTGCCGTGACACTTCCGGCCCTTGCATTCACCGTAAACGCGAACAGCTCGCGAAACCGTGCTTTCGCGGTCGAATTCCAGCCGGATCGACCGTCTTCGCTGTACGTATTTTATCGCGCGTATTCTCGTGGAAACGGGCGACGACCGCGTGGAACTCGTCGCGTATGTCTCGCGACGCGAAAAGCTTGTCGAAACTTTGTCCGAAATTTCCGCTGGTATTCTTGAATCGGTCGACGCGATCGATATAAATTTCCTCTATTTGTAAAGCGTAAAGCAGACGAATGAAACGTGGGTGGACGCGAGCAGCCTCGTCCTTTAAAACCCCTTGCCATTTGACGCGACCGCGTTGCTTTAATTAAATTCCCGTCGATCTCGCGCGTTTCTCGTGCGGCCAAGTCGGAATTCTCGTTCTCCGCGGCTGCGGGAAAAAAACGGCGACCAGAAAGGTTGGGTCGAAGAAGGAAGTCGAAGGATACTCGTTGAAAACGCGGTACAAAGAATATTCACGCCTCGAAAATGTGCGTACGCGATGATGCGGCAATGTGTGTGTTGGTTACGTACTTGTGCACGTACGTAGTATCTGTATCGACGTACAACAATTCCACGACCTCGATTAAATGCAACGGAATGGAGATTAGAGACTAAGGTAGGATAAGATACAAATGTAAGTACGGTCAACGTAGAATAAGGATCGCTGCGGTCTCGGATATTATCGACATTGTAGAGGTGTACAAGATCGAGAATGTCTCATGCATCTTGGAATTCTCGGGTTTCAGCAGTGTCGGGGGATACGTTAGACTGGAAACCATCGAAGCAAGAAAATTCGCAGGCATACAGATTCTCTTGCCGTAGAGTAATTGCTCGAACTATGTATACGTAGAGCGGGACTATAGAAGTTGAGGGTGAACTTGCAATTTATCGCGGTAAAATTTTCATGGTAAAAAGTTTGAAATAAAAATAGTTACGTGCAAATGGTTTCGTATTTCCTCGTACGAACAATTACACGTAGAAGCTTCGTCCTTTGCGCTCTCGTGAAAAATCCAATCGAGTAAATTTGATCGGTTTAATAACCACGCCGATCCAGCCCTTCTATCTATCCAACTATCGTCGGTTTTTACAGCGAAACTTTTTCCTCCCCCGGTGGCGGACAATCGTCGGATCGTCAATGAAGTGAACCAAAGAGGAACCGGAGGAGCAGCTTGTCGACGAGAGAACGGCACCGCTCAAATATCGCAATATCCGGCCATATCTGATCGAAGTTTCTATTTTCCCAAAGTCGCGCTCCATCAAAGTTTCGTCGAGCGTACATCGCGAACGAGAGAGAAGGAGAAATAGAGAGAGAGAGAAAGAGAGGGAGCTGGCGATGGCGAGGGTGGCCGAGACGAAGAGAAGTTTGTAGGTCAACGGTGTAATAGACCGCACGGAGATAGGAGGACAGAAGAAACGCGAGATTGGAGGAAAGCAGAAGAATCGGTTTTGGAGCGTGACTGTAAATTAGAATCCTCGTGCCATAAAGTAAGAAAGGCTGGGGTGGCAATGGTTTGGCCACGGGTTGATACAGAAAATGCCGCTGGTCGAACAGAAAGGGGCAACGACGGCGGTTGTCTGGCAGCGAGGAGGACGAGCCAGGGGGGTTGGGTCTCGCTCTAACGGCACAGATTGTTAGTGGACATTCAGAACTTTCCACTCGTGACTATTGCTTCCCCTTGGAAGTTTTCTCGATGTTTTCGAGCCGGCGTCGCGATGGGAACCACCTCGAACCTCTTTCTTTCCTTTCCACTGATATATAGCCGCCTTCCTCTTCGACCCGTAGCCTCTGATCGCGCTATCGAATCGCAGCTCGTGTACCTCCTATTGATTTCTGGATTCTTCCAATGTTCCATCTAACCAACGGAAACTTGGACCTTTCGTTTATCCGGAATTCCGATAATAATCGATCGCGATAGTTTGTCCGCAAGTAATTCGACCTTTTTCCTACAACTGCGATTTGCGTATTTTTATTCGATCGATGGATCCTGTTTTTGTCTCACAACCGTTTACGCGCTGTTTGATTTTTCGAGCTACGTAAACACGTGACGCAAGTTTAAACGTGAAATAATTAGTCACTCAGTTGCCCCTGCCCCTTTTCGTCTCCCAGCGCCGCGTTTCTGTTTCTTTATGCAATTTCCCGAATCTATGAAAAAGTTATCAATTATACGAGTACGTCTTCCAATTTTCCACCCTACTTGCCTGTTAAAGCAACGAAGAACGTCGAGATTCTTCCAATTAAAAGTTGTACAATTTTGAACAACTCCGACGACACCTGGCTAATTTTTTACTCGCCCGCCCTCTCTCGTATTGCCTGGTGTTTTTCATTAAAAACTGTAGTACAACAGTTCGGAATCGAACGTATCGATGGCGCAAACATTCCGCCCAGCCAATGGAACATAACAAATTTAATTAAACACGCAACTGTATCGCACAGATTGGAGAAAAAATGAGGCAATTGAAGGGCCAGAATGCTGCGAAGGTCCGAATTTCCCACTACGTAATTATCCGCCAAACTTTCTGTATACAATTTAGCAATTTATAGGATCGTTGCTGAGGTCAGGATGTTATTAAATTTTGCGTTACACGAGGTGAAATTAGACATAATTCCGTGGGAAAGTATACGTAATGAAGCGGTTCAACGAGGATCGAGAAACGTGGCACATCGTCGTGCATCTCGAGCAGAAAACACGCTCGGTGAACGGTTAATTCCAGTGTCAATAAAGCAGAATCATCCAATTACAGACGCCGCTCGGGCAGCATCGTCGACCGGCATGGTCGATTTCTAAATCGGAAAGTAGGAATACAAGTTGGGCGAGGAAAGGAGAAGGAAAAGTGGAAAGGAGGAGAACCGGGCGGAAAAGAGTTCGAGGGCGGCTAATGCCAAAATTAAAGCCAATGAACCGATTCGCAGGGGGAACGAAAACAGTTCGATAAGGTCGCTTTTCTGCCTGGAAACTTTCCGTGATCTTTTAATTAAAGTCGGATCGATATTGCTCGATATGGCGAGGATCGCATAGGGAAAAGAGATTGTATTGTTAACTTTTCGGATATCGCGGTTGATAAATACGTGCGAAATCTTGTCATAAATATTCGTAAACGATCGCAAAATATACCCTTAGCCTGTATATGCTTTGCGAATACGAGATATTTCTGTATTCGAAGAGAGAGAGAGACGAGAAAGAAAGAGGAGAAAGGAACGTGGAAGAGAGAATAATTACTCTTGTGCCATTTAACAGAATTATGTGCTAAAATTAGCCAGATGTTAAAAGCGGAGGAAGGAAGTTTAATGTCGGCGCGATAGACGCGAAACCGAAGAGATTCCAAAGTGCAATTTTTTTGATTGCTCGTCCAAGGGTTTGATCCAGAGATTAAAGAGAAATTATCGCGATACCACTGCTCCGTCGACGTAATTAAACGTTTTTATTTATATATATTACACGATGAGAACAAGCGAATACATACGCACGCTGATCGCGATACAGAACGATCGCTCAGCTGAACGAGATAATTACGATACAACGAAGCGTTACTCGTACTAGGAAACGAGGAGGGAAGAAAAAGTGCAGACACAGATCGACCAAACGGTGGAGATGGAAACGAACATTAACAACCGGTGCACCCTGTACACAATATTAATGTACTCGGTCGCGAACGACATAGAAATACATCAAAGAGAGCCGCGCATAAATGCACTGGAAATCAAAGAGACGAATCCGAGAATGGAAAATCGCTACACAATAACGTCTATCAGCGGGAAACGAGATGCCGTACAAGCGTAATTGATTGCAACGAAAGCTGAAAAACGGCGTGGCACGGCGCACGCCAGAATCAATTAAATATTTCCGTCGATGAGACGGTCGAGCGAGTCGGAAGAGGCGTGCATGCTCCAAAGGTCAAAAGTGATCGGCTGATCGATCCCAATTAAATTCCTATAAAAGATTCCATCGAACCTTGAGGATTTCTAGGCTTCTCGTCCAGCGGAGGCTGCCTTCAGACGAACTTGGTCGCTAATTGTAAGTTACCTCGTTATCGCGGATTTCGTGGATCGTCGAAACGACACGACACCAGTGACACGGCATGTGCAACCAAACACGCGGTTTCTTTTCCTTCTTTCGATTCGAAGACCGTCCCCAGTGTTTCGTCGAAAGCGTTGAGAATTGTGCTTCGAGAGCCGCTTATAGGCAGCGACCACGCGACGACTTCTGAGTCCGACACCCCATATATCCGGCATGCAAATGATGCATATGCGAGTGCTATCTGTGGTCAATAATATATCTTCTCGTTATCGGCAGAACATTTTCTGTTGATTTTATCGACATATTGGATTCATCGCTTCTTAAAGTTACTCGTTGTTGAAACAACATCGAAACGTTTCACGCAATATATTTCAAACATCCAAACGATCGTATAGTGTTTCATGCCGAAAAATCTATTAAATCCATTGGCAGCGAAACGGTATTTCATATACGGATTTTGCAAGAATTATTGTTATTTAGGACTTAGGAAAACGTATATACAGCGACCACGCACACTGTGCGTATTTCTGGCGCGCGTTTCCGTTCAGTGACAGTACTTCGGCGGACTGGACTGCCGAAACGAAAGGGTTAATCGCCGAAATAAACGTATAAGAACACTTAAATTGCACCTTGCGCTTAGATAGAATCGATATCAAAATAGTTTCAGATTTCTTTAATATTCGATTTACAAGATATTCGTCGATATATATTCGCACGGGTCTCAGCACTCTCTTTGTCTCACCATCTTCTTTACCGCACTACCAACGGAACAGTTGCATTCTTCTGTTCTACGAGACGCTGTGCACGCACATACTCCCACATACTCATACTCATATATGCGTGTCACTACTACGCGGCTAATCTAGTGTAGCACACGAAATCACACATATCTCGATAGAAGGCAAAAGGTTGTAGAGGTGCAGGGGAGTGGTTTCCTTTGAGAAAGAATAAGGAGCGAAAAGGGAGGCCCGAACGTTATGCAAATCTTGGGCAGAGGTAGTAAAACGGAGACGTAAAGACCCGTTTGGTTCCTTATTCTTAAGGCCGGCAACTCTCGTAAATTCGACCTCGTCCTCTATCAACGAGATCCATCCCTGCCTCTTACACTGCGTTTTCCTTCGTATCTGTTTTACGCGAGCCATTGTCAGTCGGTCCTAACGTATAACCTTTAACCTTTACTCTTCTTGTTTCTCTACGTCGCGCCATGTTGCCCTATATACGACTGGAATATCGCATCAGGTATAGGTCCAAGACGTGAGCTGGAATATTGTAAAAACCTGTCGCGTTTCCATATCTTTTTAAAAGAACAGCAGGCTGCCCTATTAAATTTACTCGTCACGCTTTTTATCACGTACGATATTACAAAAATTCTTTCATCCGTATCTTCTACTCTCCATTTTCTTTTAACAGTTTTCCTTCGATTCGTCGTTGGACACTGTCGATACGCGTTCATTTAAAATCTCGCGCAAACAAACGATCGATACACCGCCGATATCATTGGCCGGCAAACGATCGGGGCCCGGAAGTATGCGACATTCGATTATCGCGTTATTCAAATACCCAACTAAATCCATTAATGTTCGCGCTAATTAATTTATACTTCCGCCGCGGTTTAAGCTTTTAATAATTTATCCGATGCTGATTCACGACGATAATGCAAGTTTGGTAACGTATGGATGGTCCACGCACCGTTCCCCTCCCCGTTCGTCCACTCTACAACCCTGGTCCTCCGTAATTTTCATCGGGATTTTCCTCGTGCAAACATTTAAGTAACCTAATTGATGAAACTGATGCCAGGAGGCCGGGAGAGCGTTGCGAGCCGGGATAATGCGAGCTCTAAATCGGCCGGCGAGAAAAACGGCGTTTGAAAAATGGCTACTGTGAAATCGCAGAACGATACAAACGTTCGAGGGATAATATTTCTCGCGTCGCTAGTGGATTATCGCAGTTGCAGTGCCGATGGAATTCCTTTAATCTAACGTATGTATGTAAATAAAATTTTCGAATGTCATAAATCGACCCTTGTACGAATGAACGATCCGCAGCTGCTTTTTAAAGAGAAGAACGAAAAAATATTAGAGTGGAAATTTACGTGTCGTTCGAATAGACATTTTCTCGATAATATTTCTTTCGCGAACGTTCCATAGCATTCTTCTAATTGAATCGACCGACTCGTTGCATAAATTGTTTTGCACGTACAATCGCGATAAAGCGTGAATATTTCGCGAGAGACGCCGCGCGTTCCGTACGCGAAAAATTAGTCGAACGCATCATACAAATATTTAAATGTTCAACGGCAGCTGTCAATAACGTATTTATTTGATAATATTTACGGTTTTCCTCTACATCCTTATACACACGTACGCGTTCTACGTGATTTCGGTTTTTATTATAAAATCAATCATAAATATGGTCCTTGACAAAATATTGGATCGTCGCCAACCAATGGAATTCCTTCGGTTTTGCGAACGTATCTTTGCACGGCCGAAAAAGCTGACTCTCGACTTTGACTAAAATAATTACGCGATTCCCAAGAATCCTTCGTCGTCCTTCGCCTTTTCCCACGATCGTTTGCCCTGCTTTAAACAACATACGTCCAACCGAACGAATATATCAAAGATTTCCCGAAACGTTTCCAATTACCGATCCTCCCAATCCCTTACGTTCGACCGTAATAAATTATCTTCGGTTTTATATAGAAAAACGGGGTTGCATAGTAGTTCTACGCGTAAATTAGGTCGCGAACAAATATACTCGAGGTGGTGTTAGATGTAAGCGCCCAAGAAATACTCTCGATGTTCAACAATAAAGATTTATTTAACAATTAACAATCAACGATCAACGATTAACAATCACGCTTCTCGAATGTGTTTGCTTCGCTGTTGCGCTAGACCCTTCGCACTTCGCTGCTCGAAAGGGAATGAATCTTTTCTTTTTCTTTGTCGCCCCTCAATATTCCCACTAACCACGCGTTTGTTAGGCGTCCACGACCGTTGCCACGCACGCCTTCTTCTCGAACATCCGGCGGAAGGACCGTTGGGATATTGATGGCACATTTAGGCACTTCGCTTCAACGATATACATCGTTGCCGGGTGTCGCGAAACCGTCGAAAAGTTCCGTCGTGCATTTCGTTTCAAATGTAGAACATACAAAGCGACTTGGCGACGCAATATAAGCAGCTTCCTCTCTTGATTCTCCGTACGATTATTCCATTCTACGATTACACGCGCTCTCCGCACATTGCCGAATTTCACGCTCCTTTTCGCTCGCTTGCCAGATATTGCTAGAAATCGGTCACGTTCGCGTAAAACCTGGCGCCTCCATGTAACCTTCTTTCATCCTCCAATCTCAATCTCTGATTCTTCGACGCTTCTCCAACGTCGTTAGAGAGATCCGTGTGAAATTCCCACTTCAACGATAGATACATTCGGTCCGAAGCGATCGTTGCTTCTGGAATTGGAGTATTAAAATTTGCCACAGTTCTTTTAACCTTTGCCCGTGTTCCCGTAGAAGCTAAAAGTCTACGATTCTCAAACTAATTATCGATGGTTCGCTGCTCTCTGGTGATTACCGTTAAAGAACTCGCGCGCTCAAAGCGACTTTTCGACGCGCGGACCCACGAATCAGAGGTGGCAAAGTCGAAATTACTGGAAATTTCGAGGCCGCTTTGACGAAGGAACAGTTGCCTTTCGTGGATGCGTGTGCATTCGTGTGCCAACGTGTCCGAACGTCGATGCAATTAGGAAACAACTGCGTTGGCGGCCAGCCACCCGGTTCGTCGGATAATTGGTTTCCTCTTACCTCGTTGTCTCGATTGCCGCTCAAACGATGTTCGCGAACTGCTAATTGGCACCGCGTGTATTCCCTGCCTATCTTTCCCAGTTTCGCCCTTTTCTTTCCTCGTCCTTCTTTTGTACAGTTGCGCTCGTCGTGCAGGCGGCGCGGTAGATTAACAAGAACGCTGGACGAACGATGAGAAAAGAGAGAGAGAGAGAGAGATGGATTGTCTGATCGATTAACTTACCAACGATTGAAGCGATTTCCTTCGTAAAAGCTTCGTGTATATCCGCGACCATGCGCGAGTGATTCAACCGCTAAAGAAAATAACTCGAACTCTGTCCGTGAAATCGACTTCCTTTTTTCTTTGTCTCTTCGATTCTTCGTTTTATCGTCTTTTCGCAGGAAAGCTTGGGAAATAGCTGAAGTGGAGAGTCGAAGCGACGAGCAGCCACGCGCTCGTTTCTATCCGCTCTTTTTGCGACGTGGTCGCAAAGATAGATTGAAAATTACGAACGAAGATAACTCGTGCGAATCTGTTCGCTAAACATAGTTCTTTTATACGTCTGGTATTTCGTCGCGTTGCACATTCCTCCGCTGCTACAGATAGCTTTTCTACAAACAAATTTCTCCATTGCTCGAGGCAAAGAGGCGACAGTATTATTTGGTTGCGCGTGAATTCAATAGCCTATAGTTGGACCTCTCGGAAACGAGTTCACGTGGAACGAGCGCAATCAGTTTGGAAAATTCCTCTTTTTCGATAGTAAACCTGCTGCGTTCGGCTCGTACGAATACCACGCGCGCTGCTCCCTATATTAACCCATATTTTCGACGCTAGCAATCGTTCGCTTTTCAATGGCGTTCGCGACCGCCACGGCTGACTTGCAGTACTTTGAAAAAATGTACGCGCTGACGAAAATGCAAGCAAACGCGGCGAGGGTGTCGATAAACGGTCCATTAGTCCGATCGAAAATGGCCATTTGCCGCGTTACGTAAAACATAATACGTTGCGCGTTGAACGGTGAATTTCGCGAAAAGTTTCCACGCTGGAGCATCGATGGAGCGGCGAGTTGGCGCGATCGCCTGCTGTCTTCGCAAAATACAATGTACCTTGTCGCTATAAATATCCAGCCTAAATATTTGCGCATCAATATCGGCCGTGATATTTATTAGCCTGTGTAAAAGCCGATGGGCTTGGATTTTACGGAAACGCGGACCTGTTACGGCCGAATGCGCATCTAGCGGGACGCCAGCGAATCTATAGAGATGCACGGTAAGAGGGAAAAGTAAGAAGTAGCTCGGCCAGGCGGTGCGCTATGGCTGCAAGACGGGCCGCGATAAAGGAATTTATGTCCACGCGAGATTTACGTCCCCTTATGCTTTTACAAGATACGCGACGTTGGAGGTTACGGTCCCCGGCACCGCACGATACGTCGCTTTGTACGATGCTGGTGGAGTTTGTATGCGGCGTACGTGTGCCCGGCTTGCTAGCCGGCGTTGGTCACCGGCGGTAG